TTGTATTCGTTCAATTCTTGTCAAGAACCGAAAAAAAGTCTGAAATCTCCGGTACTGGTTGTGCAGTACAAATCTCATAACCATACACTTGGGGGTTTGTAGATTCAAGAAACCTTGAATGCAAATGTTTGGAAGAGAAGATCTAAAGAGATCTCCGCCAATGATAATGACGATTCAAAACACAGACACAAATCCCATCTTCTTGGTTCGAACAAGAAGAGAAACATGAACAAGAACAGGAGGATTGTGGATCAGAAGACCCCAACAAAGTACCCGTTATTGAGATTTGAAGAATTACCAGAATATATGAAGGATAACGAGTTTATATTGAATTATTACAGAGCTGATTGGCCTTTGAAACAACCCTTTTTAGCCTATTTCATTGGCACAATGAAACCCTAAATGTATAGACGTAAGTATCACCTCTCTCTCTATATATATCTCAAATTTAGATGGAGTTTTCATGATTTTCTTTGTTATGACAAGTTCAAACTTGTTGCTGCTTCAAACAGATTCAACCATTTTGGAATTTTTGTGGGTTTGTTGCTGATTTCATCATCTAGGTTTCAAACCTTTGTTGGGGAATGTTTGATGATGCAAAAATGGCTACGTAATGTTATGCAATATGCATGAATGCTTGCACCTTAACTTTCAGCACTCCTTGCGGTTAAGGTAACGACTTCGGGCATGGCCAGCTCCCATCGTATGACGGGCGTTGTATACAAGGCCCGGGAACGGATTCATCGCCGTATGGCTGACCGACGATTACTAGCGATTCCGGCTTCATGCAGGCGAGTTGCAGCCTGCAATCCGAACTGAGGACGGGTTTTTGTAGTTATCTCACCCTCGCGGGATCACGACCCTTTGTCCCGGCCATTGTAGCACGTGTGTCGCCCAAGGCATAAGGTGCATGATGACTTGACGTCATCCTCACCTTCCTTTTTGTCATTGAACACCAAGTTTTCATTGGTTTTCTTCATTCTTATTAAGTAAGAGCTCATCTTTGTTATTGATGTTCTGGGGAAATTGACCAAACTTGCTATTTTGGATCAACATCTTCGTTTTCAGTTTAGTTATTTTAACGTTAGTCCAATCCATATATAATAAACAATCTTGAGTAATATCAGTTTTAATAATGATGATAATAAACTAACAAACAAATCGATCATTAATTAAACTGTAATTTTTCCAATAATAAAAATGCAGCAATTTTTTATTTGGTCATCTAATTTTGATACTTAGGGGCTGTTTACCAAATACTTATCCAGTAAGTGTTTACCAATAAAATTTAATATTATTATTTACTTATTGGGTAAGATTTTACTCCATCTAAGCGACATCGCATGCAACAATTTAATCGGTAAATGCTTATCGTGGTAAGAGTCGTCGCCCTCACTTACTATGTAAGACTCTTTGGTCTTTGTCTCGCTCTTATCGGGTAAAATTCTTGGTCATTACCATATTTATCCGGTGAGGTAATGTGACTTGGTAAACGCTTATCCGAATAAACGTTTGGTAAACGGCCCCTTAGAGTTTCAAGTTTCGCATCGACTCGTATGTCATATTTACACTGTCCCAATAATTAGTGTTATATAAAAAATGCCAATTATAGAAACATATCAATGAGTCATTTTTTCCAAAAAAAAATATAACAATAATACATGATCAATCAAACTTAGGTTATGTTTAACAGACTAACTGATAAACAGTTGGTGAATAAACCTAATTGTTAACTAAAAAATTAGTTGTTAGCCGATAAACTAATCATGTTTGATAAAAATTATATGATAAAGTAATCCTAAAAATGTATGATTTTTTTTTTGTCATTTATGTTAAATATAAAAGTAATAATTAGAACAAAAAAAATTGGGAAAAAAAAACTCAAAGAATTTACTGAAACGTTATTTGAGATAATTCTTTAAAAAGTCAAGTAATAAGCTAGTATCAGATAAGGTGGTTTTTAATTAACTGAAAAATAAACTGGTTTGTAGATGTTAAACATGAACTTAATTGTATTATATGTCCCTGTTTTTATAAATATTGCAACAAATTCTTTGTACTATCTAAATTAGGTGAGGAATTAGGTTTTAGACCATCTCCAACCGTAAATACTATTTCTTGCACCAAAAGAATGTAAAATTTGGTGTAAACAATTATTTAACTACAAGGGTGGTGTCTGATTGGTTTGAGCTTGGCTTCAAAGATCAAAAGTACTTGGAGGTCCCAGGTTCAAATCCAAGTAGGAATAAAAATCTCTTGTGGCCACGGAGGTTCAAATGCGGTGACTCCGGGCTATTTGCAAAGCAGGTGGTCGTCCTGGAATTAGTCGGTTCGCATATCCAGGTTTAAAAAAATTATTCACATCCAACCAATTATGGTTATAAATGACGTGGCGGCGAGACTAAGTCTCAAGCCTTATGAGTCATTATGAGGTCACGACGTTTTTCAAGGTGTGACTTATGACGACAAATCCATATACCACACACACACACACACACACACATATATATATATATATATTTATGTGTGTGTGTGTATGGGTCTTCTTTTAATAACTTGCTAATTCGTGAGATCCAATTAAAATCACAAAAATTATTGAAAAAAAATCAATCTTTATAAATATAAAAGAAAACCTTTGGGGTATCGATGTGGCACCATGAGAAATAAGTATTTCTAAATGGTGAATTGTGATTGAGTTTTTGTTGTCCCACATTGGTTATAAGTTGAAAGATTTACACAAAATGATGTGTATAAGAAAGGTGGATTGGAAATATTCTCAAACAGTAAATTGTGGTTTAATTTTAGTTGTCCCACATTGGTGAGAAGTTAAAAGATTTGAAGAAAGTGGCGTGTATAAGAAATGTGGATCGGATGCTTTTGTGTAAATTCATGAGCTTTGATGCATAAGGTTGTCTTATTTTGGATGACTCTCTTTGAAATCAATAACCATAGTTGGTATTAAAACCAACCAAAGGGTAAAACTAATTGTGCAAAATTAAAAGTGAAACCAATGATGATGATGTGGCAATATGAGATTTGAATGTTTCTCAGATATTGAAATAAAATTGACTTTCATCATTTCAATTTAGTGGAAATGATAGTTTGGAAGAATATGATGAATATATAAAAGAGTGATGAATGCTTTGAAAAATTTATAACCATTGTTGAAATCAAAACTAACCAAATGGTAAAATTATAATGCAAAACATTCAGTTAAATATCATGCAAAACACAAAGTTGAAAAAAATTATTCATTTCACAAAAATATCAATCATCTTGAAATAAGATTGAGTTTCATCATCCCATATTGGTGGAAAGATAATAATTTGGAAGAATGAATGATATATAACGAGTGATGGATGTTTTGAAACCTATAACCATAAGTGGAATCAAAACGAACCAAATGGTAAAATTATTGTGCGAAACACAGTTAAAATATCATGCGAAACACAAAATTAAAAATAAACTAAAATATAAAAGTGAACAAACACAAGATTGATATTGCACCCAAATAGTTGAGTAATCTTCGTTTTTCTTCAATTGTGGTGGAGTTTGTTGTTATCTCATATTGATGGAGATATGAAATATTGATAATGAATGGTATGTATATGAGAAGTGGTTGAGATGCTTTTGTGGCAACTAATGGGATAGGCTCCTTTAAACCGATCATCTAAACTCGTGTTGTTGACTCATTTTGACTGACCTTTCAAACTAATGGAGTCCG